TGCGATGATGGGATCAAGTATAGCAGGGATTGTGGGGCTGGCACAGGATCGGGCAGTGTTTCGTTCTGCTGTGCATGGGGTCACTATGAGTCGGAAATGACTCGACGGCACTTAACAACAGCAACAACATGGACACAAAAGACCTGCACAAAGAAAACTACAAATCGCTATTCCAAGAAACCATAAGAGATCTACATAAATGGAAGAATGTATCATGCTCTTGGATAGGAAGATTGAACACTGTGAAAATGTCAATACTACCCAAAGCCATCTATACATTCGATACAATCTCAATCCAGATCCCATCAGCATTCTTTAAGGATAAGAAAAAACAATCACTAATTTTATATGGATAGGAAAGAGAGCTCACATAAGCAAAACACTGTTGAAGAAGAATAAAGTAGGAGGTCTCACACTCCCAGATCTCAAAACCTACTTTACAGCCACAGTAGTCAAAATAGCCTGGTGCTGGTACAATGACGGACACATAGACCAGTGGAACAGATTTGAGAACTGAGAAATAGATCCATTGACCTCTGGTCAGTTGATCTTTGACAAAGGGCTGAAATCCATTAAATGGGGCAAGAGACGGTCTCTTTAACAAATGGTGCTGGCAAAACTGGATATCCATTTGCAGAAAAATGAAACAAGATGCGTACCTCACACAATACATGAAAAGTAACTCCAGATGGATCGAAGACTTAAACGTGAAACCTAAAACTATAAAATAGTTCCTCAAGGAAAAAACAGGGGCAAATTTATTGGCCCTAACTTATGGCACAAATAGACTGTTAAGCATAACCCAAAATGCACAAACAGCAGAAGATAAACTAGATGAATGGGCCCTTCTGAAAATTAAATTTTTATGTGCTTCAAAAGACTTCTCCAAGAGTAAAAAAGAGAATCTATAGATTGGGAAAAAATATTCAGCAATGATATATCTGACAAGAGACTCACCTCTAAAATTTATAGAAAACTCCAACACCTCAACAACAAAAAGAATACAATCTTTGAATTGTATTGAAAAATGGGCAGAATACATGAATAGATACTTCACCCAAGAGGATATTCAGGTGGCCAACAAATACATGAAGAAATGCTCATGATCATTAGCCATTAGAGAGATTAAAATCAAAACAACAAGATATCATCTTACCCTGGCACTAATGGCAAAGTTAAACAAGGCAGAAAATAACAAATGTTGGCAAGGATGTGGAGAGATTGGGACTCTCATACACTGCTGGTGGGACTGTCAAATGATACAACCACTGTGGAAAGCAGTATAGCGATTCCTTAAAAAGTTGGAATTAGAAATACAATTTGACCAGCCATCCTATTACTAGTATATATCCTAAAGAAGTAAGAGCCAAGACAAGAACAGATATATGCACACCCATGTTCATTGCAGCACTGTTTACAATAGCAAAAAGATGAAAACAACCTAGGTGCCCATCAACAGAAGAATGGATAACCAAACTATGGTACATACACACAACGCAGTACTGTGCAACACTAAAGAATAATGTAGAATTTGCAAAACACCACATAATGTGGATGAACTTGGAGGACATTATGCTGAGTGAAATAAGTCAATCACAGAGGGACAAATACAGTATTAGTTCATTATTGTAAAAAGTCAAGGAAAGGTTTAATATGGAAGGAAACTTTCTTTGTTGGTTATGAGGGGTGGGAAGGAAGGAGTGGGAACACTGCAAAAAAAAATATGCATTGACCCATGTCACTTCAGTTTTGTTTATTTCACTGTACATAAATTATATTTCAAAAAAATATATTTAAAAAATTTTTTTTGTATCAACATATTCAGGAGAACAGGGTTTATCTTTGGTAAAACAATAAAAATTTAAAAACAAAAGCAAGCAAAAAAAAAAAAAAAAAAGACATCCATTGATTGGTAAACCACTGTAGTTAAAACAAGTGTTTGAGGTGAGACAACCTCCATTCAGTTAGAATTCTACTCTGCCTCCATCATAGTAGCTGGATGTCCCTAGGTAAATTCTGTAACTTTTCTAAGCCTCAGTTTTCTCAAATATAAAATGAATATAATAATTCTAACCTCATAGGGCTGCTGGGAATGTTAATTAAAATAGTATATGTACAGTTCTTGACACTTTATAGGTTCAGTAAATGTTGAAGAATAAAGAATTTGATATATGTGTGGAGTAAAATAATTTGGAGTAAATGAGATTTCAGAAAATAAAGTATAAATCTTGACCTAGGATATGGAATTTTAGAATTTTAGCTCTCATTCTATATTTAACTGTGTATAGCTGTTTTTTTCCCTTGGTGACCAGGTTGGTGATCAGGAATTTTATACTTATTTTTTCATTGCTTTCCATAAAATGCAGGTGCACCCATTATTATGTCTTTCCCACACTTCTACCAAGCAGATGAAAAGTTTCTTTCTGCCATAGTTGGCATGCATCCAAATGAGGAATATCATGAGACATTTGTGGACATTAATCCTGTGAGTATACACTGCTTCCTGGTGACATAGCACGTGTTACTCTGTCTATACAGTGTACAGTGAGTTAGTTCTAAGCACTCCTAAGACATATATTGCGTTCTTTCATGGGGAAGGGAGCTCTGGTGGCGTAGTGCCTAAAGCATTTGACTGCTAACTAGAAGGCTGGTGGTTCAAACCCCCCAGCCACTCCTCAGAAGGAAGGTTGGACAATCTACTTCTATAGTGATATCGCCTCAGAAACCCACAGAGAGGTCACTATGAGTCGGATCTGACTCAATTGCAGTGCGTTGCATTGTGTTGCGTTTCATGGGGAAAATTCAGCTTAGTGCAATGTAATGTATAGTCTCACAGTCCTGTAATTAGAAGGCTGAATTCCGTGCATCTGATATACAGAAGTACCAATGAACCTACTTTAACAAAAAAGCAATAGTGAAAGTTCAGTCATTGGAGACAACTGAAATTGGACCCATGTTACCTGGAAAATCTTCTCTCACTAGCATTGGACCTGAACACTTATTCATTTCTCCCATTGGGGCACAAATCAGCAAGATTGAAGAAATCCCTATGTTTACTCACTGTCAGAAATATTTTGGTTGTAATTTAAATATACATGTTAGCTCCAGTCACTTTTTGTCAAACCATATTCAGTAGGTACTTCTGCGAGTTTATTATGTGAGACTATTAATTTAAAAGAAAGGAACTGTGGCAATGTAGTGCCTAAGGCATATGACTGCTAAACAGAAGGTGGGCAGTTCAAACCCACTAGCCACTCCACAGAAGGAAGACTGGGCAATCCATTTCTGTAATGATTTACCACGTTGGAAATCCAACTATGAGTTAAAAAGCTATGAGTTAAAAAACATGGGGTATAAATATACTTTAATCCTGTAATAAAAGAGGAGAAAAATTAAAACCATTCTAAAAAAATAGAATATCATTTCATCATGTAAGAGCTTCTCACTATAGGAACCTAATTGAAGCCAGATAACCTTCATGCTTGGGATGTTAAACCCCATAGAACAAAGAAAAGCAAGAATATTCTTTTTGCACAGAATTTTATGGACATTTCACTTATTAAAAAAAAAAAATTCACTGCTGTTGAGTCGATTCAACTCATAGCAACCCCTCTTTGGGTTTCCAAGGCGGTATCTCTATAGAAGTAGATCGCCAAGTCTTCCTTCTGAGGAGTGGCCGGTGGGTTTGAAATGCCAGCCTTCTGTTAGCAATCAAATGCCTTAGGCACTACTCCACCAGAGCTCCTACTTCACTTATAGCTATACTCATTTCACTTATATCTGAGAAACCAATGATCTTATCCTTTTATGAATAAAATTAGGCGTGGTTTTCTCTTTCCCCTCTTAGCCACCACTTGGTCAGTTTTCATGAGCCAAACTATTAGCATCCTAGGATCTTATCTTTTTAGAGATACCTCAGGCTCCACCCCAGACCTACTGAATCAGAATCTGCATTCTACCACCATCTCCAAGGACTCAAATGTGTGCCCGTGAAAGTTTCAGGCAACCAAGATAATGAACAGTTCTCTTACTGTTCTGGGACCAGTTCTCCCTTATCCTACTCTGTTCATCAGGGGCAGGAGTGTATGGGGGAAGCAAACAAACAAACAAAAATCATGGTAGTAGCCACTGTTTATCAGAACCACACTGTAATGAGGGTCTATTGAAAATTTTTGTTTATGGTTTTTAATAAGTCCTAATGTTTTCTTTATACTTCTCTGATTTGCAGTTGACTGGTATTATCCTAAGAGCAGCCAAGAGGTTTCAAATCAATGTTTATGTCAGGAAATTAGATGACTTTGGGTAAGTATTGTTTACTTCTAACTGAGACAGAGGATAGTTTTGCTACATTGACTTTCTGGTGGGGTCTATGTCAAGAAGAGTACAGCCCACCTCTTCTAATTCTGCTGACCCCTGACTTCTTTATTTTCATAGGGTGCCTTGGTCTTGAAATTTACTTATTTTATTTACTGTAACACTTACAGAGTGCTTTCTATGGATCAGGCGCTGTTTTAAGCACTTTACACATGCTAATACAACGCAAATGCAACCACTGCCATGGAGTCGATCATAGCGACCCCTCCTTGGGTTTCTGAGGCAGTGTATCACTACAGAAGTAGATTGCCCAACCTTCCTTCCGAGGAGTGGCTGGTGGGTTTGAACCGCCAACCTTCTGGTTAGCAGTCAAATGCCTTAGGCACTATACCACCAGAGCTCCTATACACATACATACATCTGTATATTTATATATATCTCCAAACCCATTACCATCTATTTCGACTTATGGGGGTCATGTTCAGAGAAGCACTAAGCTCCATAGTGTTTTCTTGCTTGCAGTCTTTTGGAAGTAGATCGCGAGGCCTTTCTTTGATGGTACCACTGGGTGGTTTTGAATGCCAACTTTTTAATTAGCAGCTGAACCCAAATCTGTGCACCACCCAGAGACAAACACACATACTCTCTCTCTACATATATATGAAAATAAAATTTGATTGGTTCACCTATCGAAAGTGCCAGCTTTAACTGCATATATCATGAATCTTTCTAAGAAGCATATATGGTTTCCAAGAATGAATTTTGTCACTCATGTATGTATTTCTGATGTAGTATAATTTAATAGCTAAGAGCTGGGCCTTGAAATCAAAAGGAAGTTTCAATCCATCCTGACTCCACAACTTACTCTTGTGACCCTGGGAAAATTGCACAGCTTCTCTGAGCCATAATTTCTTCATCTGTAAACCTGGAATAAAAATACCTAATGCAGGGGACTGTTGTGAGGATTAAATGAGATAATGGCCACAAAACACCCAGCACAGAGCCAACACATCATAAGTGCTTGATTCTGAAAACAGTGGCCTAGTTACAAACCACTGTGAGGGATGGCAGCATTGTTCTGCAGTGTGTATCCTGGTGGTGACTGTTAGAATAGTAATCATTTTGATGAATTTGCTTTCAGCATCTTGTGTTTTGATCATTATACTTGCCATAAATGTGCTTGACTTGGAATTGCTAGACTGATCGAATATTAGAATCTAACTTCTAATTGTATATGTGTTTGCAAAGATAACTAAGAAGCCAGTAGTAAACTATCAGTAATTCAATGAAATAAGTGTGCTGGGATGTTCATATAAACCTGTCTCTTCAAAGTGTGCCACTCATGTAGTATGATAATGGCTGTAAAAGATCTCATCCTTTATCTTTATAGTGAGACTGGAAACATTAGAACGCTGGTTTTCCCAGTGATGTATCTCAATGAGGTAAGTCCTGGGAGGGGACACAGGTATGTTTTAGCACCAAACCTTGGGAAACATCCATTATATCTACTACCATCATTTATTCTCACTCACTGCTGTGAAGTCAATTCGACTCATAGTGACCCCTCCTTGGGTTTCCGAAGCGGTATCTCTATGGAAGTAGATTGCCTAGGCTTCCTTCCGAGGAGTGGCTGGTGAGTTTGAATCGCCAGCCTTCTGGTTAGCAGTCAAATGCCATAAGCACTATGCTGCCAGAGCTCCTGTCTACTACCGTAGAGCTGTGTAATTTAAGAGTTGAGAAAAGGGAAAAGATGGTTTTTAAAAACCTGTTTGCTCTCAGATAATTTTTGTTAAAATATGTACATGAACCTGCCTGTGTCGAAGATTTAATTTAAAGAAAAGAGAGAATAATTTCCCTTCTCAAGACTGTTGTTTATGAGAAGTTCCCTTTTGGGAAGCTGCTTAGATAAGAAACAAAATGCAAAGGTAAAATGAAACATTGTTAGATATTGTTGAAACAGGATAAATAGCCAACACTCAGAATGATGTTCAGGATAAAGCTTTCTTTGAATCTTCTCCTCCTTTAAGACCTTGCCAGTTTGTAAAATGTCATCAATTTACTTCTTGTTATGTGCGGTCAAATTGTCTCCAACTCATAGTGACCTTATGTACAACAGAACAAAACACTGCCTGGTCCTGTGCCAGCCTCACAGTCTTATTATACCTCAGTTCATTGCTGCAGCCACTGTGTCATTCCATCTTATTGAGGGTCTTCCCCTCCTTTGTTGACCTCCACTTTACCAAGCATGACATCCTTCTCCAGAGAATGGTCCCTTCTAACAACATGACCCAAGTAGGTGATATGAATTCTGGCCATTCTTGCTTCCAAGGAGCACTGTGGCTACACTTCTTCTAGGGAAGATTTGTTAGTTCTTTTAGCAGCCCAGAGTACTTCCAGCATTTTTTGCCAAAACCACAACTCAAAAGCATCAACTCTTCTTCAGTTTTCACTCACATGCATAGGCAGTGACTGAAAATACCATGGCTTGGGTAAGGCACATCTCAGTCTTCAAAAAGATATCTTTGCTCTTCAGCACCTGAAAGAGGTCTTTTGCAACAGATTTGCCCAGTGCAATATGTCTTTTGATGTCTTGATTGCTGCTTCTGTTGATGTTGATTGTGAAACCAACTAATATGAAGTCCTTGACAACTTCAGTCTTTTCACCATCTATTATGATGCTGCTTACTGGTCCAATTGTGAGGATTTTTGTTTTCTTTATTTTGAGGTGTAATCCATTCTGCAGACTGTAGTCTTTAATCTTCATCAGTAAGTGGTCCAAATCATCCTCACTTTCAGCAAGCAAAGTTGTGTCATCTGTGTATCTCAGGCTGTTAATGAGCCTTCCTCCAATCCTGATGCCATGTTCTGCTTCATATAGTCCAGCTTCTTGGATTATTTGCTCAGCATACAGATTGAATAAGTATGGTGAAAGGATACAACCCTGACACACTCTCTTCCTGATTTTAAACCATATGGTGTCCCCTTGTTCTGTTTGAACAACAGCCTCCTGGTCTATGTACAGGTTTCTCATGAGTACAGTTAAGTGTTCTGGAATTCCAATTCTTTCAATGTTATCCATAATTTGTTACAATCCACACAATTGGATACTTTGCATAGTCAATAAAACACAAGTAAACATCTTTCTGGTATTCTTTGCTTTGAGCCAATATCCATCTGACATGAGCTATGATATCCCTCACTCCACGTCCCCTTCTGAATCCAGCTTGCATTTCTGGAAGTTCTCTGTCAATATACTGCTGCAACCGTTTTTGAATTATCTTCAGTAAGATTTTACTTGCGTGTGATATCAATGATACTGTTCAATAATTTTCACATTCTGTGGGATCACCTTTCTTTGGAATGGGTACAAATATGGATCTCTTTCAGTCAGTTGGCTAGGTAGCCGTTTTCCAAATCTCTTGGCATAGCTGAGTGAGTGCTTCCAGCACAGCATCTGTTTGTTGAAACATCTCAGTGGGTAGTCTGTCATTTCCTGGAGCCTTGCTTTTTGCCAATTCCTTCAGTGCAGTTTCGACTTCTTCCTCAGTACCATTGGTTCTTGATCATGTGCAACCTCCTGAAATGGATGATCATCTACCAGTTTTTTTTGGCATAGTGAGTCTGTGTATTCCATCCATCTTCTTTTGATGTTTCCTGCATCATTCAACATATTGCTTGTAGAATCTTTCAGTATTGCAATTCAAGGCTTAAATTTTTTCTTCAGTTCTTTCAGCTTGAGGAGTGCTGAGCATGTTCTTCCTTTTGGTTTTCTAATTCCAGGTTTTTGCACATTTCATTATAATAATTGACTTTGTCTTCTTGAGCTGTTCTTTGAAATCTTCTGTTCAGTTCTTTTATCCTTTTTATTCTTCCATCTGCTTTAGCTACTCTCCATTCAAGGGCAAGTTTCAGAGGCTCTTCTGACATTCATCTTAGTCTTTTCTTCCTTTCCTGTCTTTTTAATGACGTCTTGCTTTCTTCATGGATGATGTTCTTGATGTCATCCCACAATTCCCCTGGTTTTTGGTCACTGGTGTTCAGTGGATCAAATCTGTTCTTTAGATAGTCTCTAAATTCTGGTGGGATCTAATCAAGGTCATATTTTGGTTCTTGTGGACTTGTTTTAATTGTCTTCAGCTTCAACTTGAACTTGCATATGAGCAGTTGATGATCTGTTCCACAGTCAGCTTCTGGCCTTGTTTTGGCTGAAGATAATGAGCTTCTCCATCACCTCTTGCCTCAGATGTAGTCATTCTGATTCCTGTGTACTTTTTCTGGTGAAGTCTACATGTATAGCCACCATTTGTGTTGTTGAAAAAAGGTATTTGCAATGAATAAATCATTGGTCTTGCAAATTTCTATGATGCAATCTCCTTCATCATTTCTATCACTGAGGCCGTATTTCCCAACTACCAATGATTCTTCTTTGTTTCCAACTTTTGCATTCCAATCACCAATGACAATTAACACATCTTGATTGCATGTTTGTTCAATTTCAGACTGCAGAAGTTGGTAAAAATCTTCAATTTCCTCATCTTTGGCTTTGGTGGTTGGTGTGTAAATTTGAATAACAGTAGTATTAACTGATGTTCCTCACAGGCATATGGATATTATCCTATCACTGACAGCATTGTACTTCAGGATAGATCTTGAAACATTCTTTGTGATGATGAATGCACCATTCCAGTGCAATTTATCATTCCCGGCATAGTAGTTCATATGTTTGTCTGATTCAAAATGGCCAAAGCTAGTCCATTTCAGCTCACTAATGCCTAGGATATCGATCTTCATGCATTCTATTTCATTTCTGACAACTTCCAATTTTCCTAGATTCATACTTTGTACATTCCATGTTTTGATTATTAATGGATGTTTGCTGCTGTTTCTTCTCATCTTGAGATGTGCCACATCAGGGAATAGAGGTCCCAAAAGCTGTCCTCTGTTCACATTATTAAGGGTGGCACTACTCTGAGGCAGCAGCTCTTCTCCAGTCATATTTTGAGTGTCTTCCGACCTAAGGGGCTCATCTTCTGGCACTATATCACACAATGTTACAGGGCTATTCATGAAGTTTTCCAGTAATATATCAGACAGTGTTTCACTATTCATAAGGTTTCACTGGCCAATTGTTTGACAAGTGGCTGGTGTCTTCTGTCTTCCGAGTCTTAGTCTGGAAGCTCTGCTGAACCCTGTCCACCATAGGTAACCCTGCTGACATTTAAACACCGGTGGCACAGCCTCCAGCCTCACAGCAACACTCAAGCCACCACAGTACGACAAACTGACAGACAAGTTTGTCTTCCCTATCTGTTATATGCTGCTCTGCTTATTTCCTGGTCTCCCCCACCCTGCTTGCTTACCTGGCCCGCCTCTGGGACAAACACTGGCCTTCCGCTGATGCTGGGGCTGGCTCACTGTGGTCTGTGCCCAGGGTGGCTCCACACACGCAAATACCCGCCTCCTGCTGGTCCCGGGGCTGGCTTACAGAACTGTTTACTATTGTTCATTAATTGAGGAGGAGGAAAAGAGAATAAAATTAAAATGATTGGCAACATGGCATAAATATTTTGTGGAAGGCAGTTAAATAAAAGATTATAGAAAATGATACATGTCCATTAATTTCAGGGACATATGATTGCCTTCGTCATCATCCTAGAACAGAGCTGCTTCTGCTTCTGGTAGGCAAATATAATGAATTATAGAAAACAGAGTCTTAGTTCAAACAAAAAATGTTTCACTGAAGAGATACTTCTTTCACAAGCTACACACAGAAATTTTATACATAAATGTTAAGTATAAACTTTTGTAAATAAAAGCATATTCTTAAAGCTCAAAATACCCCACTATTTAAGACACCTATGGTAAATTTTTTTCTCAGTCCCGTAACATATCTACTAAAGCTATAGCTCATTTTCCCCCTTTCTTCCACTCAGTTTGGAGGAAAAAACGCAGGTTCTTCCCCCTAAATAAATTCCCCATTGGTAGACTTCTGTTGTTAACAGCATTTTTAAAAACGTTATACTATTTTTTATCTCCTCCCCAAATATTATTCTTTGTAGAAAATTTAGTAATTGAGATTATCCAAAAAGGAAAAATTAAAAGCACTCTTTACAAAAATCTGTCATACTGATGTATTGCTTTTAATTTGCTTTCTTTTACTCAACAACCTGTTGTGAAATTTTTCCCAGTAACAACTTTTCAAAAAATAATTTACTTAAAACCAAACAACAACTTAACTAGTAAAAAACGTCTGCCTTGAGCATTAAGCTCTTTTAACAACTATCTATATGGGATCAAAAAAGGAGCTTTGGTGGTATAGTGGTTAAGGCAAAGGTTGGTGGTTTGAATCCCTCAGCTGCTCTATGTAGGAAAGATGAGACAGTCTGTTTCCATAAAGCTTTACAGCTTTGGAAACCCAATAGGGATCGCTATGAGTCAGAATCAAGTTGATGGCAGTTGATTTTGGTCTTTTGTTATATGGGATTGTGGTGGTTATGTTTGTGTGTGAACTTGGCTGGGCCTGGCTGAGTGGCTGGGCAGCTGGTAGTAGTTATTCTCCATGATGAGACTGGCAATCAGACTCCATGGTGGGATCTACCACAAGCAGCTGAGTAGCTGCTTTGGGTTTGTGGTCTGCTTCCTGTATATAAGAAGCAGCCTTAGATGGGTGAACAAGCTAAACAATTATGTATGTCTAAATGGAGAGTGTATCCAAGATCATATACAGGGTTGGCAGACAATGGGCCTCTCGAAGA